TCTAATCTTATCATTGTCTTGCACTAATTAAGAATATATTTTATTACATTATTTTAGTGTTTTATTTAAATACTCTATATCTCATTAACTTATGAATGTTTCACATTAGACTTTTACCAATATCTGGACCTCTTATGTTAACTCCATTTGTCCCCCAATCTCCTTCATGTCTTGTTTGTTTCATATATTTATTTTTATGTATTTTATGCTCCACAAGGTATTACTCTTTTATAAAGCACCCTTGCTTTAGTCACCCAAGCATTTTCTTCTTCTGTGGCTCTTCATTCTAATATTTGCTGGTTCTCATCTGGGATTACATCCTCTGTATCTGGAGCTACTTGATAGTACCAGTCTGTTGCCAATGGAAAAATATTTTGAAAATGTGTTTATTTAGCTTTTGTAGGCTGTTTTCAGGGTAAAGATATTGAAGTGGGCTCTGTGGAGCACTTTGGATATTTCCTATTGTGCTCTGGCTTCCATTATTTTTGTTGAAGAGTAAATTAGTCCTGTTGTTGGTCATTTGAAGGTTATGTGTCTCATGTCTTGCTGCTTTATTCATTCTTCTGTTTGTGTTTTACTTTCAGCATTTTAACTTTGATGGGCTTAGATATAATTTTATTTTTTTAAATTTTACTTATGATTATTGATATATATATATGTGTGTGTGTGTGTGTGTGTGTGTGTGTGTGTGTGTGTGTGTGTAATGTGTGTGATGTCTGTGTGTGTGAGAGAGATGTGTGTGTGTCCTGTGATTCCTCAGTGTGTATGTGTGTGTTTGTGTGTGTATGTGTGTATTTGTGTGTGATGTGTGTATGTTTGTGTGTGTGTATGTGTGTGTGATGTGTGTGTTTGTGTGTGGTGTGTGTGTGTGTGTGTGTGTGTGTGTGTTTGTGATGTATGTGACTGTAGGTATAGCATGGATATGAAGTTTCAGTTTACAGAAGAAAACTTTCAGGGCTCATTTCTCTGTTTCCACCTTGGGTTGGAAATTAGACTCAGTACTTTTATCTATGGAACCATCTATTTAATACCCTAGACACAATGTTAATTGTATTTGGTCTGGAGTTTATAGTGCATCTTTTCTGTGGCTTGATGTCTTGTAATTGATTTAGTGACAGTATCAAATATGATTGTTGTAGTTGACTGTGCTGGCTAGTTTTATGTTGCTTAGATACAAGCTATTGTCATTAGGAAGAGGGAACCTCAATTGAGAAAATGCTCCCACCAGATTGGTTGTGGACAAGCTTGTGGTGTATTTTCTTAATTAGTGACTGGTACTGGAGGGCCTAGTTCACTGTGAACAGTGTCAGCACAGGGCAGGTAGTTCTGGGTTGTATGAGAAGGCAGGCTGAGCAAACCATGAGGAAAAAGTCTATAAGCAGCACTCTTCCATAGTAAGTGCATCAGTTTCTGCCTTCAGGTTCCTGCCTTGAGTTCCTGCCCCGACTTCCTTGAATAATGGACTACAAGCTATAAGATAAAATAAGCCCTTTCGTTTCCAAGTTGAGTTTGGTCATGGTGTTTTATCACAGCAATAAAATCTCTAAAGAATATATTGAATTTTCATGTGTATGACAACACTACCTGGGATAAACAGCTTTTACATCTCATGGTAAACAGGAAGCATAGAGCATAGCTCAGAGAGATTCTTCCTGTAGAGTCACTGTTATGTTAACATGTCTCTACTATTCTCAACAGCTGAATCTATCTTCTGTCATCAATCTGTCTAGATGTATGTCTGTCTACCAATTACCTATCATCTTTTGTTGTTGCTTTGTGGGACCAGAGAAAGTTGTGCTGATATTTAGCTGCTCTATCATACTTGTAAATTGAAGTGAAAAGTTCATATTCACCAGTGTGTGTGATGTTTGTGTATGTTTGTATTTTTGTGCACAAGTACAAGTAGAGATCAAAAGTTGGTGTTAGGTGTCTTCCTTAGTTACTCTCCACTTTTATTATTTTATTTATTTAGACATGGTTCTCTTCTGAACCTGGAACTTATCAATTTATCTAGGCTGTCTGACCAATGATCTACAGAGATCTGCTATCTCCCCCAACCCCAGCACTGTGGTTAAGAACTCATGCTACCCCACCTGGTTTTTACCTGGTTGGTAGGATCTGAACTCAAGTCAGTATGCTTTGCACAGTAAACCCTTTACCAACTGAGACACCTCTCCATTCTGTTTATATTCTTGATGGCTGCTCTATGTGTCCTGTAGAAGCGTATGAAAAAGATATTGTCCAGTGCAATTGGCATGAATTCAAGTATCCTGAGAGTAGAAAGGAAGCTTTGTGTGAACTCTGCAGGACCCTGCAGGGTTTTTGTTTGTTTGGTTTTGGTTGACGAATATGATGTGAGTAACTTGAGGTGAGAAGAAAGTAAGCCATGCTAGAGGAGAAAACACATTCCTCTCTTTAAGGCAAAGCTGACAGAAATAGAAGACTATAGCAGTGGAGTGGCCTGCTTCATTAAAGGATTTGTTCAAGAAAGACCTGTGTTGTAAAAAACAATGAATAGTATATTTTAGTATATTGAGTTTTCTATAGACAAAGGGCATATCATAGCACTTCTATAGGATATAAACAGAAATAAATATACAGACAATAAATTAAAATTCATTTTGAAATACTGGCTTAAACATATTTGTTTACCACTGGGCTTTCGTGAACTTTCAAGGTATGGTTTGTGAAGTTCCAAATTTTCCTGAACTTGGGGCACTTTTACATGTTGTTGTTTGTAAGAATGTATGTTGGGAAACTGGGGTATGTGGGCACTGAGGGAACAACAATAGGATTACTACATGAGCGTTGAAAGTTCACCAATGCTTGAGCCTTTTGGATATTGTTCATAACTAGTGCTTGAGCTGAAAAGGATGCCTAGCAAAAGTGTGCTGCAGCCCACATCAGCTGAGAGAATTTTCACGTTAGTGGATAAAGGAGAGTTCAGACTGGAGTGAAATATTCAGTCGTTTTTCTTTTCTAGAAAGATTGGTTTCATGATGCAGTGCAGGATGAGCTGCAAGGAAAGGCTTGAGAAGCTGAAATCTCAGAAGAGAATCTGGTGACTTTGTCCAGAGCTGCAATTTGTTCTCAGACTCTGGTGACATCATTGCCAATTGAAAATAAAAGGGACAACAGTGGTTCTTTTGAAGGAAATCAACATATCTAGATGCCCATCAATAGATGAATGGATAATGAGAATTGTGTTAAAATATATAACTATACCTATTAGATTACTCTTCAGCCTTAAAGAAAGATGAAATCACAAACTTCGCAGGAAATGGAAGAACATGATATACAATATTAGGGAAGGTCAACCAATCTCCCCCAAAGAAAAACAACTTACACATTCTCCATCATTCATGGATCAGCCTATAATGTATGCATGTTTAATGTAAACAAATGATGTGTAGCTACAATGAGGCACTTATAAAGAAGAACTAGGAAGGGTTGTATTAGGTGATTAGGAAAAAGGGGATGCCAATAAAGGACACATGACCTAAGGAAGAGGCTATAGAGCTAATTGTTTTTCTAGTTTCACTTCTAACATGGTTTTCATGGTGGATAAATTAATAAAAATGTAATTTATACTGAAAGCATGGAACCATAAGTGAAGATCTTGGGCTTCAGACTGGCCCTTATAACTGTAGATAACATCACTGAGATATACAGAATTTGGATCTGGGCAAGAGTCTGCTTGAGTGTATACTTTATTCTAGCTTCAGGATACTTTTATTTGTGACAAATACAAACTATAATGCTTTAGATGAAAGAGAAGGGATTTGTCAGGATGGCCTTTGGGTTTGGATGGCTCTGAGGATGGGGGGAGATACTCTAAGAAGCAGGGATTCCTCCAAAGGAGCTCATCTGTTTTCTTCCAGTGGACTAATTATTTGATGAGGTCATGAGGGAAGTTACTAATTTCAGGAAGTCTTAGCTTGTGTTTGAAAACCATTTGTATAGGAAGGGTTTACTAATTTCCAAATAGGAAGACAAAACAAAAGGAAACAAAACAAAACAAAACTACTGTTTTGTTAAAACTACTACTGTTAAAGGGACATTTGAATGAATGATGCAGAAAAAAAGCTGTTAAAAAATCACATTGACAGTAAATGGATTATGTAAAAATTCTGACAGCTCTTGGAGCATCTTTTCCTCTAGCTCAATACTTCACATCATCTTCGACGGAGTAAGCTAATTAAATCATTTAAAACACAATTGAGTAACTATTTTGAGCAGCTGCTTTTCCAAAAGAAGGCAGAGGATTCTAAGATTGTCAATAAGTAAGTCTTGTATTTGAGCAGTGAATAGGGGTGTGACTTCAGAAACGTAGTTTCTGTCCAGGCTAGACATGCCTAGAAAAAAAAAAAACCCAAGCAAGCCGAGACTTTCAACCCACCCCATGTCAATCAAACCTAAGGAGGATGCCTTTGCCCTTGGAAGAAGTAGTGCGATGGAAATGTCATGGACGGTAGATTCACAGGCTCGGATTTGAAGTCTCCAAGGAGTAAATTTCTTTCTACCTCTCATTCTGCTTCTTCATAAAACACAGGAATAGTAACTATTGTATAGGATTAAATAAGATGTGAAAGAACACTACCACTGGCACTGTACATGTATTTGTGCATCAAAGAAGTGTGCCCATAAAGAGATACTGCTTTTAATCTCACCAATGCAACTTCTTCCCGTTTTCCAGATCTGCTTCCATGTGACAACTGCATGGCATGGGGATTTTCCATTGAGAGATGGGATTATAAATGATAATTAAATTGATATCATAATAACTACCAGAAAAATATTCAAGATATTTGTAGGGGTTTGACACATAATATATGGTAATTCTTTGCGAGTAGTCTTTGATGAGACCAGGGAACACATACATCTCTGCAAAAAAATAAAATATAAGCATGTAGATCATAATATCAAAACCCAAAATGAAGTGAATCATTCATGCTTTTCATTAGTTGCAATGACCATTTATTTTCTGTTATGGCACATAGTGAGAAAAAGCTCATCACAGATGCCCTCAATAAGAACCAGTTTCTGAAGAGGTTGGACCCACAGCAGATCAAAGACATGGTGGAATGCATGTATGGGAGAAACTATCCACAGGGCAGTTACATCATTAAGCAAGGAGAACCAGGCAACCATATCTTTGTGCTGGCAGGTGAGTTTCACACATTTTTTTGAGTTCTCATATGAAATTATTTTTTGCCTATTTTGGCTTTTTAAAAAATTTTAATTTATTGCCGGGCGTTGGTGGCACATGCCTTTAATTCCAGCACTCGGGAGGCAGAGGCAGGCGGAACTTTGTGAGTTCGAGGCCAGCCTGGTCTCCAGAGCGAGTGCCAGGATAGGCTCCAAAGCTACACAGAGAAACCCTGTCTCGAAAAAAACCAAAACAAAACTTAATTAATTTATTTATTTTACATCCCAACAGCAGTTTCCCCTCCCTCCTCAACTCCCATTCCCTCCTCTGCTCCTGCTCACCTCCCTCCCCTCAATCCACTCCTCCTCTGTTTCTGTTCAGAAAAGGGCAGGCCTCCCATGGGTATCAACAAAGCATGGCATATCAAGTTGAGGTAAGACCTTCCCTTTGTATTAAGCCTGAGCAAGTCTTTCTGGGTCTAGGTTATATCACTCAGGGTGATTTTTTTTCTATTTCCAACCATTTGCTTTCAAATTTTCTGATGTCATTTTATTTGACAGATGAGTAATATTTCATAGTGTAAATGTAGCATATTTTCTTTATCCATTCTTCAGTTGAGGGGCATCTAAGTTGTTTCCAGGTAATAGCTATTACAAGTAAACCTGCGATAAACATAGTTGAGCAATTGTTCTTGTGGTATGACTGAGCCTCCTTTAGGTATATGTTCAAGAGTGGTATCATGGGGTCTTGAGATAGAATGATTTGCAATTTTCTGAGAAACTGCCATATTGATTTTCAAAGTGGCTGTACAAGTTTTCAGTCCCACCAGCAGTGGAGGAGTGTTCCCTTTGCTCCATATCATCTCCAGTATAAGCTGTCATTTGTATTTTCAATCTTAGCCATTCTGACAGGTGTAAGATGGAATCTCAGGGTCCCTTTGATTTGCATTTCCCTGATGGCTAAGGATTATGAACATTTCTTTATGTGTTTCTCTGTCATTTGAGATTCTTCTGTTGAGCATTCTCTAGGTCTGCGCCCTAGTTTTTTAATTGGATTTTTTTATGTATAATTTCTTGAGTTCTTTATATATTTTGGAGATAAGCCCTCTGTCAGATGTAGGGTTGGTGAAAATCTTTTCTCATTCAATAGGCTGCTGTGTTGTCCTGTTGACAGAAGCTTTTCAATTTCAGGAGGTCCCATTTATTAACTACTCTTAGTGTCTGTGCTACTGGTGTTCTATTCAGGAAGTTGTCTCCAGTGTCAGTGTGTTCAAGGCTATTCCCTGATTTCTCTTCCATCAGGTTCAGTGTAACTGTATTTATGTTGATGTCTTTTATCCATTTGGTCTTGAGTTTTGCGCTAGGTGATAAATATGGATCTATTTGCATTCTTCTATGTGTCGACATCCAGTTATACCAGCACCATTTGTTGAAATGCTTTCTTTTTTTCATTGTATGATTTTGGCTTCTTTGTCAAAAATCAAGTGTCCATAAGTGTGTGGATTTATGTCAGGGTCTTTGATTTGATTTTATTGATCAATATGTCTTTTTTATGTCAATGCCATGTTGTTTTTATTACTATAACTCTTTAGTAGAGCTTGAGATCAGGGATGGTGATACCTCTGACAGTTCTTTTATTGTACAGGATTATTTTAAGTAGCCTGTTTTTGTTTTTCCATATGAAGCTGAGTATTGTTCTTTCATTGTCTGTAAAGAATTATGTTGGGATTTTGATGAGGATTGCATTGAATCTGTAGATTGCTTTTGGTATAATGGACATTTTTATTATATTAATCCAACTGATCCATTAGCATTTGAGATCTTTCCATCTTCTGATATATTCTCCAATTTCTTTCTTCAAAGACTTGATATTTTTGTCATACAGATCTCTAACTTGGTTGGTTAGAGTTACTGCAAGATATTTTTCATTGTTTGTGGCTATTGTAAAGGGTGTTGTTTCCCTGATCTCTTTCTTAGTTTCCCTAATCCTTTCGGGGGAATAATCTTCTACCTAGCCACTTTGCTAAAGGTGTTTATCAGCTGTAGGAGTTGTCTTGCAGAATTTTTAGGGTTACTTATGTATACTATCATATCATCTGCAAATAGTAATACTTTGGATTCTTTTCCAATTTGTATTCCCTTGATCTTTTGTTGTCTTATTGCTCTAGCTAGAACTTCGAGAATTTTATTGAATAGATACAGAGAAAGTGGACAGCCTAGTTTTTCTTGATTATAGTGGAATCTCTTTGAGTTTCTCTCCATTTAATTTGATGTTGACTTGCTGTATATTGCTTTTATTATATTTAGATATGTTCCTTGTATCCCTGATTTTTCCAATACTTTTATCACAAAGGGGTGTTGAATTTTGCCAAAGGTTTTCCAACATCTAATGAGATTATCATGAGATTTTTTCTTTCAATTTGTTTATATAGTGGATCACATTGAGAGATTTTCATATGTTGATTCATCCCTGCATTTCTGGCATGCAGCCCATTTGATCATGGTGGATAATCTTTTTGATGTGTTCTTGGATTTAGTTTGCCAGTATTTTATTGAGTATTTGCATCAATGTTCCAGTTTGGCATTTTTGCAAACATTATAAAACCAAAACAAAGTTGCTCTGTTTGAAGAAAATAATCACACTGACTTCGTGCAATGAGGACATTGGTGATGTGATCATGACAACAGTTGATGTTTATGTAATATGTTGTATGTATCATATATCCCATTGAGCACTTGACAGAGAGATCTCATTTCATTTCTCACCTATCCAATGAGAACAAACACAGACCTCTCAATGTTATCAGTGGAGACAATGCTCCACAGAGGTTAAATTGTGTATCTGAGGTCTCACTGCTCACAAGTGGTAAATGTAAAGCACATACAGGAAATCCAACTTCATGCTTTTAGTCACAATGCTGGTAATTAAAAAAGTTTTGTTCCAAGTGTGACTGCTTATGTTGACACTTCTGACATTGGTCCAAGGAGAATTTGTTTTTGTGGTTTTGAAAATCACCTCGATCAAGACCAGGCTGGTGAAACCCACAGAAACAGCTGTCCTGAACAAGGGGGAGCCCATGGTCCCCAGATTGATGGCTGGGAAACCAGCATAGGACTGATCTGGACCCCATGAATGTGGGTGTCAGTGAGAAGGCCTCAGAAATCTATGGGGCCTCTTGTAGTTAGTAGATCAGTACTTGTCCCTGGTATACCAATGGACTTGGGGAGCCCACCCCACATAGAGGGATACTCTCTCAGCCTAGACACATGGTGGGGGGGGGGCTAGGCCCTGCTCCAAAGGATGTGACAGACTCTAAAGATCCCCATGGAAGGCTTCACCCTCCCTGGGGAGCAGAAAAGGAATGGGATAGGTAGGGTATTAGTGGGGGGCAGGGGAGGAGGGGAAGGAGAGGGAACTGGGATTGACATGTAAAACAATCTTGTTTCTAATTTAAATAAAAAATGGGAAAAAAAGAAAAAGAAAATCACTTTGATTGTAGACCAATGATTTCAAAGGATAATTTAGGTTTCTTTTTAACAAACGAATCAAAGGAAATGTCATATTAATTAAACTGGTATTTTTAGAGCCATTTAGTTTCCATTCTCTTTAATCATTTGAACACTCATGCTTGGGAGATAGTAGGAGACCTATCTAGGGACTTTTAAGTAGTTGCTAATATATCATATAAATAAGCAAAAAATTACTTGGATAATGGTTGAAATTATTGAATTTCATGTAAAATTCTGAAATTCCTCAACATTTTGGTGTTTGGAAAGAAAATTACACTTCCTTAACCAGGTGGTGTGGCAGCCTGATAGATTCTGTGAACTTCTACCTAGCAGAGGGTTCCCCATGATCGAAGCAATCAAGCAACATTGCTTTTTTCTGTTTCCTGTGGCCTTAGAAGTTGCCTATCTAAGCAAGTTAATGGGCTTGTATTTTCCTGTTTGTAATAAACTGAAGATTGTTTCCTTGTATTTTGTTCTAGAAGCCCATCAGATTTTGTAATTATTTGTGTAGTATATGTCATATAACCTTTAAAGGCAACTTCAAAATGAGTCTGTATATGAACAATTATACTATTCTTGTAGTGAGTTATAATCTTAATCTAGACAGCCTTCGATTTTTACAGGGATAGGTGACCCACGGTGATACTTTCTTCTTACAACTTTTTTCTTGGCTGCTTCACATCTGTTTTAGCAACTCAAAAGCATTCTGACAGGAGAAGAAAAGTCATTAAGTCAACAAATATTTATGGAACCTGCTAAGAGAGGACAAGAATCTCACACCAGCCCATCTTGTTCTTTGCCAATAATTCTGATGAAAGGCTTGGGGAAGAAACATTACTGCAGCCATTGATACCAGGCATCCAGCCCACATAGAAGTGAAAATTGGATGGCTTCTTATTTGAATTAATTATGGTAGCATCTAAGGACTGAATTGCCTGGCTTAATTATTTGCCCGAGCAAATTAATTTAATAATTAAAATTCTCTCCTTTATAAAATATAGCACGAATATTAAATAGTATAGCACAGTTCACTTAAACTCTTGATATTCCATATAATTCTTCAGTATTACTCAAATCCCATGAGCCATAACCAATTAAGGAAAGAACCTTGACATACACTAAGATTCAGGATATCAATGAGATAGCACCACTAAGTGGTTTTTGATGCAGTTAGAATTAGCTGTAATAAGAAATTATTAAACTGCATATCTAATCTGTGGAATTGAGAACCAAAAGAAAAGGATTTTTTTCTTGCTAGAATATAGTTCTATCCTAATAAACATCTTTGTATCTCTTGCCTGGCACTTATAAAAGTTCCTGGAACAATGTCAATTCTCATATCAGATTTGTTGAATTGAGTGGATGACATAGTGACCCAAGCTGTTTGGGAACAGGAGAAAGAAAGGCTGACATTACTTCCTCCATTTTTCTTCTCTAAAAAGTTTAGATATTTTTGCTTACGGTTTTTTTTTTTTTAAGAAAAAGTTTTGTTTGAGGAGGAAAGAAAAGAGGGTTTCCAGGGCAAAGCAACTGTAGGAAGTTTGCTCAGTGCTGTTTTCTTTGCTTTGTGTAGCAATAGATATGAGCCAGAGAATGGGAGGTTTAGCAAGCAGAAGAGGACCATGCAGTAATGTATTCAAGGTTACACAGTCAACAACTAATGCAACCCACATGGAGAACTAGGTAGCTTGACTTGACAGGCAGGGCATCATGGCTCTGCTAGGTCTTCCTTCCCTCACTGCAACAGCTGTGCAGTGTTTTCAAGACACATGATTGTTGAGCTCCTAGTAAGGGGGAAATGGTTTCATTTTTCACAGGGCAGAATGAATCTTGTTAATATTCACATAACTTTTAGCTTGTGCTATCTAATGTTTTATGTTCCCTACCAGGATTAACATTGAATTCTCATGATAAGTGCATGAAATACACATGATTCTTCCCATCATCCATGGTGTGAATAAATGGCAGGTCTGGTTTCAGGCTGGGTCTTTTAACTACCCCAATCAAATCAGATTCCTAAGTAGCCTGACTGAATAATTTGTATGATTTTTGGTTATTTTTTTCTCTGTGGAACACAGGTAGATTTTGATGGTTTGTATTTTTCTTAAATTCTACTTCATAGAGGGTAGACTAGAGGTGTTCCAAGGAGAGAAACTGCTATCGCCCATCCCAATGTGGACCACATTTGGGGAACTAGCCATTTTGTACAACTGTACGCGGACCGCCTCTGTGAAAGGTAAGAGGAGAAAAGCTGCTCCCAATCTCTACTGCATCTAAGGTTGGCTCCTCAGCAAAGCTTGTGCCATTTTGCTCCATATACTGTTGTTCATAGAACACAATTTCGATAAAAAGATTTGTATGTGAGTTTTGATAGGAATAATTCAAATTAAGAACTTTCCCTAGGCTGGATACTGGCACTTGGGTAGCAGTGTCTAAAAATCGTGAAAAGACGTACATCCACATCCTTGTGCATACAACACTTTTAACTTCCAATTACGAACCCTTTAGTGTCTGGATTGGCTACTGACTTGGGAACATACCCTGTGGATGTGATGTAAAACTGGAAATTGCAAAATATTTGAATATCATCCTACCCAAAACATAATCCAGGTACCTTCTTTCCAAATCCTGGTAGATTTCAAAGCTGAAGTGGTGTTAAAAATTACCCACACTTCTGTTATTTCCTTTCATTTGCATGTTTAAGTAATACATTTCCAACAAATATGTAGTCACTGGCTAACATTTTGGGCGTGTTTTCTTTTTCTGGTGCTAAACACTGTTGTATTATTTTCTCGAATTTTCTAAAGCTATTACCAATGTTAAAACTTGGGCACTGGACAGAGAAGTTTTCCAAAACATTATGAGGAGAACGGCCCAAGCCAGGGATGAGCAGTACAGAAACTTCCTCAGAAGGTAAGAGTAACCATGTGGAGGGAGTCCAACCATTGTGTGGACAGAGTAGTGATTTCCCTAGCAGCTTACCTGATCCAAGCAGTTCCTATATTATTAAAGGAAAGAGCAAAAGAATTCCCTTTCAGTAAATGGCAGCAGATGCCAAAAATTGTATTTGAGCTATTTTCTTGCTATTCCTGTTACTTCTCTATTGAAGGAATTATAGCATAAAAATATGCAAAACACCTGAAAATTTCACCTACGTTTGCTCACTGGGCTTTGAATTGAGAAAATACAGCAAAAGAGTAATCTTGTAATATTAATTTTAGTTATTATTTTTGCATTTTATTTATGTGTGTGTGTGTGTGTGTGTGTGTGTGTGTGTGTGTGTGTATGTATGTGTTTGGTGTGTGGTCATGTGCAAGCAGGCCCACAAGTTTGCCACATGACAAGTGTAGAAGTCAGAGGACAACTTCCGGGAGTTGCTTCTCTTACTATCAAGTACTTCCAGGGATCAAGCTCAGGTGGCCAGCCCTGAGCAGTACAGAAACTGGTTCAAGCCTTTTTTTTACCCTGAGACATCTCATCAGGCCCACTGAGACATTAAGATGAATTCATTTTACTATCCTTGCTTTATGGGTGACATTTCTTTTCTCATTTGCATAACCACACTGCCTTCCAAGTAACCATTATTTGTAGCAGCTTAACTTGACAAAAAACGTTACTATACTTGTCATGATGACATGGATACTAGGACAGATCATTTTTTAAAAAATGTTCTGTACCTCGACATCATGAGTGAGTCCATTTATAGGGAACCAAATGTCTGTATAACTTCAAAAGAGAGCTGGAAGAAATAATTCTTTTTAGGAGTGTACATTCTTCATGTACAATAGTTTTGTATCATATGTGAGAGTTTTGGTAGCCTCTGAATTTGAACACATCATGTGATGAAATGTTCTTAGGATAAGTGGTAACAACAATTATGAATTGTGTGACTTCCAAAAGTAAATTTCAAGTTTTTCCCAAATATAATCTAGTAATCTGACCTTCCATAGACAGCCTGGACATTCAGAGATGTTAGATCTGTCTATGCCTTAGTGTTTAGTATGGGCTCAGAAGTACTGCAAGAACACATAGAAAACCAACAGAGCACAGCCAGCATGCAGGTTCTTATAGAGCATCTCTCTACCACGCCCTCCTAGAGACAACAATGACTCCTGACAAAAGTCATCATGACGAGCAGGTTTCTTATCTCTAGTAGCATGTATCTTAACTGTCATGTGGTAGGATCTACCTAAATAAATATAGGTGATCTTAAAATTGTACAGCTGAATGTCACAGGTCAGCATTTAAAGTAAATAAGCCACACTTATGCATGAGGTTTAAAAAAGGATACATGAATAAGCCGGTGGCTACAGGATGTAGTTGATTGTGAATCAGCCTGTAAAGCAATAATCCCCTCGGAGCCCACTCTCCTCTGCTGGAGTTGAAGGAGCCCAGAGAATCTACTAGCAGATATTCCTTTCCCCCATCCTTCTTTTTGTTATTTCCTTCATTCATTCAACAAATATTTATTTCTAGACACCAAACATTGTGGATTCAGTGGTGAACAAGATAAACCTGACCACTGTCCTCATAGAGCAAAGATGAACCAAAATTTCTCCTCATCTGTTTACCTACCAATTCCAAAGTCGACAGGCTTTCTATTCATAGATTTCAGTTTGGACCAGAAGGAAAATTTTCATAAGTATATGGAAACTGAGTTCTAGTTGCCTTTGCCATCTCAACAGGGAGGTACTACGCTAGACAAATTAAGTTTTCTTTGTCTCATAATATATAATAAAAATGTTAAATCTACAGTTTTTAAATATGGCATGTAATGTACAAGGCCTGTAGCATATTTGTAAATCACAAAATCTCATAGCACTAAGAACCCCATTACCAGGAATAAATCTAAAAAATTAGATCAGTATGTTGGATGAGACATCTGTGTCTCCATATTCTTTGCAGCACCATCCAGAATATCTAGGAAATGGATACAATCTAATTGACTATGAGCTCATGAATGGTTAAGGAAAATATGGTACATGTAGGGTGGAACAATATTTAAACATAACAAAGGTTAAAAATCGTTATTTTTAACGATTTTTTTGAGTCAGGGGTGATCTGACTCAAAATTTAGACTGTTGTGTTTAGTGAAACAGTTTAGGCATAGACAGACAAATACTGCATAATCTCACTCATATGTAGACTCTGAGAAACTGCATAGAAGTTGATAGTAGAATGGTGCTTCCCAGATGCCTAAAACAGTAAGGGGAAAGGGTTGAATGAAGGTTGACCAGTTGGTTCTAAGTTAGAGATGGACAGGAGTAAGAAGTTGTGATATTTCATCATAAAATGATTATACATTAGCACCTCACTCTAACCCACTGAGCTAACCGGTCAGCTGTAAGGTGATTATACATAATAACAATGTATATTTTTGAAAGGTTAGAGGAAGAATTCTGAATGTTTTTATGATAAATTTTTGGAGAAATAGGTTTTTACCCACATTTAAACATTGCAAAATATATACATGCATAGAAACATCATAAAGTACCAATTTTATGTACATATATCAGTTAAATTTAAACCAACAAATAATGGTAAGTATCCATAAAGTAAGGGACGTCCCCAAAATGCCTGTGATCTCTGACATTGTCACAGACTTCTGGCCCTTCTCCTTTCAGGTGCAGTGATTAATTAGTCCCTTGGTCTTCTTTGTAATTTTGCTTATGACTTGATTTAACTCATTTTGAACTCGATAAGAATGGTGTTATTTTTGCAACCCATTAGTTCTTTACCTGTCACCCTGAATTCATCTGTTCTGCAGCAGAGGTTCATTTTGCTGTTTTGCAATTCAATGCACCTGTGCAGTCATTCTTACAGATGTCTCCTAGCCTTGTGCTGCGGGCTACGTGTGTGTGAGAATTTGCCTAGAGCTCCCTGCCTTCACAAGATCTAGTCATGCATTTGGGAATAATATAATTTTTCCTGTAGGGCTGTCAAATGATAGATGGTCAAAAAGAAATATTTCTTTTATAGAAACTATACCAATAGTCTCAAAGTTGTGTAAAATAGAAATTGCTTTAATGAAACAATTTAGTCATATTGATTAGCTAATCATACTGAGAGAAATTTCTGAATTTTTTTAAATAATGGGTTTCAGTATTCTATTTCACTCTTAGCAGAAATGTTTCCATGACCTACCTCTAAAACATTGATCTAAAAAGACAGTACAGTAAGATTAATAATCAAAGAGTATGTCACTGTTAATTTCCATGTCCCCATAGGTTCAATCTTTACTTAATTACAAGGATTTAGATGAAAATCTGATCCTTCACCTTGAATAGAGCAACTCACCCAGGGTATAAGAGACATTGGGAAGTGGAGAAAACACTTCCAAATCCAACTACAATGTGCAGTGGGTGCCCCTCAAGCAGACAGGATGGGATTGCCCCATTGTGAGGATCTTGGTACTTCATTTTTGCACCTATGACAAAGACCTGGGATAGTATATTACATCTGAACGATTTCCAGTTGTCAAGAAATTCTGTTATTTATGTGTTCTCAGTCATTTAAATGCTTACTTTGGAAAAACTGAAGTTCATTGAATTACAATAGTAAGTGAATGTTAGAATTTAGTGTCTGCATAGAATATATGTGTTTTTTTTTTTCAAACTATAATTAAGTAAAAGCTGCCTGTGGTGTTGCATGCCTATAATCCCAGGGCTTTGAAGGCTGAGGCAGGAGGATCATGAGTTTGGGGGTAACCTGGCCTATATAGTGAGACTGTATCTCAAAAAAAATTTTAACTAAAAAAAGATAATTAACTTAAGATCTCTTTTTAATTTTGAAGTGTTTCCTTGCTGAAGAACTTACCTGAAGATAAGCTAACCAAGATCATTGACTGTTTGGAAGTGGTAAGAAATTTTAAAGTAAGAAATAAATATCATTAGAAGATTTTAGAATCTAGTCATATTAGTACTATAAATAAATGAAGAGGAAAAGATGGTGTGACGCTAAACTAGAGAGACCAGGAGCTGTGTTTGTGCAAAATTTTAGGTCAACTCACACTGAATTAAGGGACTAGCCAGGGTTAGATAGCCTTGGAACTTGCAAAAAGAAATTGGATTTGCATGTGTAAAGTGAAATTTGATTTACATATTTTAATCTTTTTAGTACATTTTATACAACTAATCTGCCTTACTCAAGAGGCATTTGATTTTCTGCAATTAACATCACAATCCCTTGCAGAGTTTTCACAATATAAAGGAATCAGTGAGGCATAATTAGGAAACAGGGTACAGAAAGGGCATTCTGGGGCTGTGGGGGAGGTGTCTGGAGCCAGACCACGCAGCCTTCTGTATTCAACCATGGAAACACATTTGAAGAGATTGCACAGGAGCATTTTACCTATTTCAATATCTAGAGGCAAGTGGCAGATTGGAAAGTGTTCAAAAGCTTATTCCTGGCATCCCCAGATGGCTGGTTTTAGTCTAAGACTTGTCAAGCCTTATTGGGGATAATGCTTTTATAACGTACCTTGCTCTCCATGGTCCTCAGTTTATGAAATCCTCTTCAGATCTCCGAGATTACAACTCAGAGCAAATAGTCTCTCCCCCTTTCCTGGGGGTTCATGTCACTGAAGCCAAAGTGACTTCACTGAAGTTAAAAGGAAGAAGGGATTGGTGGCAATATCATAGCTGGAGGTGGTGCTGGTATAGAGCTGCTCCCAGTGGGAACAAAGTATAAAGCCCTGCCTGTCCGTTTGTGGCTAGATTCATGTTCTGCCAATCATGACAACCAATGTAAACTCCTGTTTACTGAGAAGGAAACAGCATCCATTTTTTCCTAAACCTAAGTGACACCAGTAATGTTTAAACATATAGTCATAGAACATCCAATAGTTTATCAAGGACAGGCTATGGGGACACTATGCCTTGCCTCCCGTCCCTGGGGGACTTTGGACATGAAGTCAGCTTCAACAAGTCCGTGTCATCATCTGTATCCCTTTGGGATTTTCCCAATGTAGCATAAACCAATCACAGATGTTACAAATTAAAAATTCTTCTCAATTTCTCAGGGCGTTTCTCTTTTCAGGCCAGAGAAGCCCTATATATACACGCATTTTAGTGTTGTTAACCAGAGAAATCTGTTTTCAATAGGCTGCTAATAGAGGGGATTTACCTGAGGGGAACCTCCTGCTGACAGCAAATATGTGAGCTTGATGTTAAAAACAAATGGCCACTTAGACATATTTATAGTGGCCATAGGCAACAGCTACCAAATAGATAGATGGGTCTCTCAAATTATTAACTCGGATATTAATTAGTACACAATTCAAGTTTGTAAGCTTCGTCTTTTAAAACACCCTGGGAAAGCATGACTACAACTCAGTGTCTGCAGACAGTGGCACCATCTACAAAGGGCTCTTTATCCTACCTGGCAAACAAATGTGTCTCTGTAATGTGTGAAAATTCCCCGATGTGGAAGTGATTAGCAATGGAGTAATGGGATCTCTTTAGTTCTAAGAAAAGCATATAATCTGCCAGTGCAGACTCCTGACACATCAATAGGGGTCCTCAGCCCAGTGCAGGGAGGTATGACAGAGCATGTTGTCTCCAGGAGACCCACAGTCTTTGAGAAAGCTGAAGGTGTCTGAAATGAGCTTAGAGGTGGATAGGTGCCTGTTTTCCTTTGTGTATGGGGAGACAGGTGCAGAGAAGGGTTCAGGGTCATTGTGTCTGTTTGTCAGTCTATCAACCCCCCTCAACACACACACACACACACACACACACACACACACACACAAAGCAGTGGATCCTGTCAAGTTCCAAAGAAACTGAGGACAAGCATCTAACTATGCTGCCTATTAAGCATACCAAAGTGCACTGGCCACCAGGCTCTCTCAGTACCTGTGGCTCCTCTCTGCTATTCTCACCCTGCTCCCTACACTAAAACTCTGTAGCCCAGAGACTGGGCTTCCCTTCCCCCCAGCTTCTCATTCCTATATAACCCTGCCATTTCAGCAACTGGTTCGGTTGGTCCTTATTCCCTTTCTTTCCTCTCTCTCCTTCTCCTCTGCTCTTGGCTCCTGGCCTCCTCTCATGCCCTTCTCTCTTCTCTTCCTCTCACCCCTCATGGGCCTGTTCAGTCTGCTGGCCAGGTTTAGTCTACTTTTTTCTCTGCCTGCTCTGGGCTCAACAGATGCCTGACTGTTCTCTCCCTCACATCTACAATAAAACCCTTCTCCTCAAACTCCATACTGTGGAACAGTCATGTCCTCCTTTTTCATTCAGATCCTGTGTGTTTAAGGCAGACTGCTGAATTCCTCCACCGAGTATTTGTCTCTGACAGTTCAGTTTTCCATCCATTTCTTGAGCACAAGTCTCCCAGAGCATTCAGTTTGCAAGGCAGTATCTTCTGGAAGCCTCTGCTCATGCTCTGACTAGAACATGAGTAGTGATAATGGAACACAGTCACTGCCATGATTAAGGATTTAGCTAATGACAGTCATAGGGAAGGATGCAGGTTTGGAGTGGTGGCTACAATGGGTGATAATGAAAATTCTAATGTGGCTAATGTCCCTGGGCAATCATGACGCTGGGACAGGTGACCCAAGAGTGTTTGTTTCCATGCAGGAAACAGTGGAAAGTGTGGAATTTGTGTTCTGAGTTGCAGACACAGAGATTAATCAGGAAGTTACCTGGTTGGGGCAGAGCTCTGGAACCTGACCCAGTGTTTCTCAGTACTGCCACCCTGATGGCCATGTCTGCATCTTTCACAGAGCTCCAGTCATGGCAGGGCTGTGAGAGGCACAGTGATGTGAATGTCTTTTTCTTTCTTCAGATCTGGGTACCAATAGAAAGGCAGAATCCCAGGTCTTGTCCCATGCTCACTGAATTAGAAACTGGTAGAGAACCCCAGTTCCACAGTTTTAAGATGTCACCAATGGGCTTATTAAGCTCTCTGCAGTTTAAGAAGCACTGGTGTGTGTGTGTGTGTGTGTGTGTGTGTGTGTGTGTGTAAAGTGCCTGAAAGACTGTTTTGTAGAGTGTACCATGGTCTGCCTTTTCATTCCACACATTTCCACTTTAAATCGTGTTTTTCAAACTCTCGTCTCTCTATGCATATAATATGTAGTTCAGGTGAGTGTGTAGGTATGTACGCATGCATAAAGGGATCAGAGGGCAATTGTTGGTGCCATTCCTCAGGCACCATTCCCCTTTTCTTTCAAACAGGTCTCAGAATTTACTGATTAGATTAAGCTGGCTGGCCCCTGAGCACTAACAATCCACTCATCTCTGCCTCCCTAGTGCTGGAATTACAAGCAAGTGCTCCCCAAAATACAGACTCTGGGATCAAACTCAGGAACTCCTACCTGTAAGAAAATCACCTGACCGATGGGACTACCTCCCCAGCTCTATGAACATGTTTTTAAACAACAGGCTGGGATTTGTAGTTGCAGAATGAGCTATACATGTGTTGCTTCTATGGATGCGTGTGCATTTGTATGTGCTATATCTTGTCAGTCATCAACACATTTTTTTGCAATGAAAATATGTAGTACAATTTCTGGATTGTGAGGAAGCCCGGGATTATCTTTGATTTTACTCTGTCACTCTGGAGTTTCTTCCTGGTTCTTGTGTTTTCTGTGTAGGAACTCAATTTATTGACTTTTGCTTCCTCAGCACAAAGCAGGTATCTTCCTAACAGTGGAAAATCATATCTTTAGGGGCTGCTGTCCATTTGCATTATTTTCTTCTGATCTTTCTTATTCTGTTCTGAAACTGATTTCCTTAGTTTATTTATTTATTTTTCACATATACTGTATCTTTCTCCAGACTTCTAGAAGTCTTCCTTTAAAAATTCCTTTTTGGGCCATGAAACCAATCTAGTGAATCAGTTTGGCATAATGAAAGTGTAGGCACAATTTCAAAGACTGTTTCAATTTTATATAAGTATCTATGTGTGTATACCTTTATGGTTATATCAAGTATACATGTAAAGTGAACCATCTTTCTACGGGATAGAGTCCATGACTTCTTCGTCTTCTAAGGGACACCATTGCGAAGTAACCACAGGAGTCACCGCACTGTTTGCACTTCTCTTTTTGGTTGCAGTGGCTGCCCTGGCCTGACTGCCTGCATTCCCCAGTTGACAAATACTGGGCAGTCTAGCATCATAGCCAGTACTCACCACTATGTATTTTTGGTCTGACCTATTTCCACAGCCTTTCCTCATCTATGAGTTACTGTTGACACACTGGGAGGTATTGTTTGCCTTCCTTCCATGGTTTTGGGTGACAAAGAATCACCCCTGGGATGATTCCACTGGGGAAGCTGCCCTTTAAGAAATAATAAGGCTCTTTTTCAATGCCCCCTTTTAAACTTGTCCCCTTTGAACTTAGCTGGTTGGCAGGAATTAAAGCCACACCTCTGCACACATATAAGGGGTTTTGTAATAGCTGAAGAACAGTCTGATAGCCCTTAAGAAACTTCCTGTGTCACTTCTGTTCCATGTGGGTGATAGCTGCTGAAATTGGAGTGGGGACAAGAGACACAGAGAACAGATCCTCAGACATGGATCTGGCAGGACACTGCAGCTTTACTGAAGAGATTGGTGTCTTACAGAAGGAAGACATCTTGGGTTGTAGGGTTATGGTCATTGTTAAGGGTCATAGATAGTCATTGCCACTGTAAAACAGAGTTTCACTATAGTGAAGACTTCTGAAAAATACAAGTGAGGAAAAAATGAAGAGCTGGGCTAAATGAAGTGATTGTAAAACCTTACTGTTTGTATAAAATAGAATTTGTCTCTTGCTCACCTCACAGAGTAGTCCAAGGGGAATGTTCTCAGTCATTCAGAAATATAATTCAACTGATGGCTGCTTTGCTATTTTCATTTAGCAAATGGTTTTCAAGCTGCCTCTAGGCCATGCAATTAAGGATGCACACATGAAATGGTTTGTGGGTCTGGCTCAGAAGTGGGATGCCCTGCATTTGCCTGGTTCTTTAGGACATAACCTAACTATATGGCTGAAACTAACAGCAGAAGTATCAAGTATCACTTCCTTGGGTAGCCACATATGCCTGTGGAAGACTCTGAGAGCCATCTTGCAGTCTCTTTGCAGGAATTAGCAGTTACCAGGTGCTTGCTGTGTACCAAAAGTTCTACCATGTGTTTCACGAACACTTCGGCTTCATCCTCAGACATTGATTGATAGGTGCAGTAGATGTACAGCCTTACTTTGGCAAAGAGGTAATTGAGCTTCAGAGGTCTGACAATGAAACACATACCACTGTCCTTTTCCTTAAAGCATCAATAATTAAACAAACATTTACTATGTTTAAGGTGTTTCCCAGTATTTCAGGAAACATTGTCTTATGGGGACATGCAGAATTGTACCTTCAAGTGCCCATACCCCAGCCCCTGACTGGCTAGATGGGAAGAATGCACTTATGGAAGCCTTTGAAAGGAGCCAAGCATTCTATGTGGTATTGGAAGCAGAAGCCAATGAGGTTTCAGAATGGAATACAGCTCCTTCTAGCACCTAAAACTCAATCTTGAGAAGATCTCAAGTAGAGAAAACCTGGCTGCTCTATTCTGTCCTTGGGCTTTCTGACCCATAGAAGCAGGAAGCTAATCAAAGGGTGCTGCTTAAAGCCACTAGATTTGCACTTGTTTGTTTTAGCATCTACAGAAAACTAATGAATTTCTCTAGCTTTGAGGGTCAACATTCTTAGTTGATGTATTCATTTAAAAGAAATTCCATGTGGAGCTGGTCTTTGAATCTGGCTCTTTTGGTTTCATGTTTCTTTCTAAGAGACACTGAAATGTCTCATTAGGCATATAAAATACTAGGAAACTATAATGTGTATTAATTGATTTGAGGAATAACATTCAGTCCCTAAATATTTATTCTGTTATCTTTGCTCATTTTGCCTAAATGATGAGGAAGGTATTGAAAGGCAAACAAAGTACTTTAGTTTACAGTTTACTTTCCAGTCTAGAAGAAACAAATGAGTGAAATTATGTTGTCAATTTTGCCATTTTAAGAAATTAAACAAACCCATTTTGTTAGTATAAATAACTAAGAAATCCGTTTTAGTTCTCTGACTTGAGATAGCATCAAATTAAGGCAATACAGGTAATATCTGTCTGGGTGTTCTAAGGTACTGGCTTGCTCCTTGGCTCTGATGAGTGGATACATTACTACTCTCTGCTCAAGGATTCTCAGATTACACAAGGAGGTCTGAGAGACAGAAAACTTAAGCCAAGAAAGAAACCAGTGATCATTTGCAGTTCCATGGGGATAAGTCAACACTAAGTCCAGAATTTGCACATGTAGGTCTGATGTCTCTGTGGTCTTTTGTGTTGAGGTATCTTTAGAAGTAACAGCCAGAGCCTCCTGTTCTGTGTGCAGACTTCTGTAGGTGTTGTTGTTCCACAAAGAGTTAGAAATGGAGGATTCTGTTCCTCTTACCCATTGGCAGTATGTTCAAGTTATCATGCGACCATGCAATCCTTTCCGAACCTTTGGCCTACTCTTCAGATAGTTACTAGACATTGCAGTTCAGCTGGAGGTGAGATCACACTGTGTCCCTGGATGCTGTCTTACTTTCTTTTCTCATCATATCTGTGCCCTCCATAACTGAAACTGAATATTGAATAAGTGAAGTTTCTCAGTGAACAGAACAAGCACAAATCTTGCTGATCTATAAGGCAACTCTCCGTACTTTTACCCCAGTATTAATGGCAGGGAAAGATAGCTTACATGCAATCCATGCCCATTTAAAGACAGAGAGGGTTCTAATTCTCCCATCATACACCTCTACTTGATCTGATGTTCTGCTTGTTTCTCATCCCAATAGGAATACTATGACAAAGGCGATTACATCATCAGAGAAGGAGAAGAAGGAAGCACCTTTTTCATTTTGGCAAAAGGAAAGGTAAATGCTAAGTAAGCTTACTTACTCCATAAAGACTTCTGCTGTGATCGGTGTGCTATCAGTGTAGCAATGTTCTGCATTGCCGTGGAAGAAGTTGCTTGACTGAAAGAGTGATGAAGTATCTCTGACAGTCTCTGGGGTTCTCTATGCAGATGCCTGGGTTTGAGGATGAGGGCATAGAGCACATCTGATGGACCACAGCTGACATAGTACCTTGTCAATAACTGCCCACAGGTTCCTCTGTCTTCTGTGGAAGTCTTTCTGTGTGTGATGTTTGTAATGGCTGGTTTATTTTTACTGACCCTCCCTTTTTAGGAATGAGCACATGATTGTTTATCAGCCCAATGGTCCAAGAACAGGGCTGGAATAATGTTTTTTTTTAATTCATTTTACATATCAACTACAGTTCCCCCTCCTTCTCCTCCTCCCCTTCTCCTCCACCTCCTCCAAACTCACCTCCATCCACTTCTCAGAAAGGGTAAGGCTTCCCATGGGGAGTCCCAACTGAAGCCTGAGACATTCCATTTGGTGGGATGTGGAATAATGTTTTTATATAGCAGATATGACCAGCAATCTAGAAGAATGAATTCAGCAAGTAAAGTTCCATTCTTTGAAAGAATTCTGGCTAATAAAGAAATTGCATTTGTTATCATCATTTAAAATATTAATTCATTGTGACATTCATAAATATCAATCAAAAACTCTAGCCATTGTGAACCAGCACCTATTAACATATTAACTATAATAATTCTGGCTGAAACAGGTAATATTGTAAGATTCTGTTTTGGAGGCCCATGAGAAGTAGCCTACCTATGGAGAGACTTCAAACTGATACTCAAAATTATTCTTGTTTGTTGTAAACTCTATTAGACTTTTTGAAACAACAGAGCTAGGTCGCCAAGGGACTCATATTACTTGCTTTGAGGATCTCTCAAAAAGAATCACTGGATTTACATTTTACAAACTGACCATTGGAGCCAGATGTGGTAGTGCACTTCTTCAATCCCAGCACTTAGGAGGCAGAGGCAGATCTCTAGTTTGGGGCCAGCCTGGTCTAAAGAACAAGTTCCAGGACAGCCAAGGACACCACAGGAAACCCTCAAAACAAAACAAAACAAAACAAAACAAAACAAAACAAAACCCTGACCTTTGGGAGGTGATTTGATGGAGAATTCTCCTGTTCCAGAGAGTTGTCTAACACCTGTCTTAACAAGAGCAGAGTGCTGTGGATTTCAAGAGCATTGTGCAGCAGCATATTACAGTAACAGTGTAAGGACTAACATGGTAAGGACTGTAAGGGTGTGACTACTGTAATGGTGTAACTACTGTAATAGTGTAATGACTCTAATGGTGTAACTATAACAGTGTGAAAGACTGTAACATTGTGATGACTCTAACAGTGTAAGCACTGTAACTGTAATGGTATAAGGACTGTAACAGTATAAGGACTGTAACAGTGTAAGGACTGTAACAGTGTACTGATTCTAATGGTGATACAGCCTCCTATTCTCCCTCCTTCAGTTGTTGCTGAGTTTGATGGGTGTGTGTTCAGATCCCTCGTTTACTCTGATCTCTCTTTTGAATTGTTTCACTTTGTTTAGGTGAAAGTCACACAGAGTACAGAAGGCCACGAGCAGCCACAGTTGATCAAAACCCTGCAGAAAGGGGAGTACTTTGGAGAAAAAGCTCTGATCAGGTGAGTGCATGGATTTACATGGTGCTCAGAAAACAGGCTTGGAATGTTTTCCATCTCAAGACTACTCACTAGCCAAACACTAGTTTTGCCCAGGAAAGTCTTATGTCAGTAAAAACAAGATTGGTTTTTAGCTTAAAATATTAACAAAAGAACATAAAATGAGGAAATTATTAAACTTGAGCAAAGTTTTATGTTGCTGTAGTTTGCAATATTATCCTACTCAAAATATTTCTTTTTTAATTAAAATGTGAAGAGTTCTGGCAAGATGGGTCAGTAGGTGGTGGCACCTGCATCCAAATCTAATGACCTGAGTTTGATCTCCAGGACCCATATGGTAGAGGGAGAGAACGGACTCCCCAGATTGTCCTCTGACCTCCACATGTGCATCAGGACATGCACATGCGCGCGCGCGTGCGCGCGCACACTCACACACACACACACACACACACACACACACACACACACACACCACATATAAACAGAATAAATATATAACTGTAATAAAATGTTTAAACATCACAACAACTTTTCATATTCTGCATCTTTAAAACACATCAAAATAATCTATGTTTAAGAAATTTTTGCTGAGTGGTGGTGGTGCATGCCTTTAATCCCAGAATTCTGGAGGCAGAGACAGGTGGGTCTCTGTAAGTTTGAGAACTGCCTGGTCTACAAAGTACACACAGAAACCCTGTCTCAAAAAACAAAAAGAACAAAAAAAGAAAAAAAGAAAGAAATTTTGTGAGCTTAAAATACAAGTTTTAGCAGCAGCTCAAAATAATACATTTGAAATTTCTATGTGACCGTTCTATCTTTTGAAGTATAAGTTTGTGTACTATTGACCTAAGTCATGGAAATACATTTTTATAAAGCTGATAAGTGGCTTAAGGGGTACTTTGTACTTCCTTAAACAAACAAGCAAACAAACTCCATATCTAAAGAAATACATTTTCCTAAATAGAAATAGTTTCATAAAATAGCAATTGAGTTCAGAAAAAGATCCATTTTTGGAGTTACATATGTTTTCAAGTGAATAATTTGGAGTAATTTAGGAAATCACTTGGATTTTATATTACCAGCAAATGGTTTTATGTCAAGTATATGTTTGAAGAAAAGAGTTAATGAAGATCTGGGTAGTGGTGGCCCACTCCTTTAATCCCAGCACTCGGGAGGCAGAGGCAAGGCCAATCTGTGAGTTTGAGACCAATCTGGTCTACAACACCTAGTTCCAGGACAGCCTCCAAAGCTACAGAGAAACCCTGTCTCAAAAAACCAAATAAATAAATAAATAAATAAATAAATAAATAAATACATAAAGAGTTAATGAAGAAAAAGCTATTTCTGTTGGGCAGTGGTGGCGCACGCCTTTAATCTCAGCACTTGGGAGGCAGAGGCAGGTGGATCTCTGTGAGTTCGAGAACAGTTTTGTCTACAAAGCTACACAAAGAAACCTTGTCTCAAAAAACAAAAACTAAAAAAGAAAGAAAGAAAAGAAAAAGAAACAGGGAAAAAAAGAAAAAGCTATTTCTGACCTTTTATCATTTTCTTAACTTTCACCTATGAAGCTTCTGTAAGACAGGCTACATAATTACAGCACAAAGAGAAAGTGCTCTGTATTTACCCAGACATATTTGATTATCTAAAATTTATACATCTTTTATTTTTCAAAGAACGCCCAGGTACTAAAACATAATACATTGGGCTTTAGCTATTATGTAAGAAATTTCAAAGTATAATTTAAAGACAAACTGAGTTTTTCTTTCTTATTGCCTAGCTGGTAATGAACTCATTATTTGACAATAATGAAATTATCTTTTTTTACACTATTATAATTATCCAAGACTTCAACTTATTTGTTCTTAATATTTACAGTTTATTTTCTACCCACTTGCAAGCTAACCAGACAAACTTTGAAGATTCACAGGACTCTATTATGCAGTGTAGATATTAAGCAGCTCTCAAGAGCTAGCATGCGATCTAGTTTTAAGGGACCTGAATTAATCTGTGCTGTCTGTTGTAGCTAGCCAAGTATAGTTTTTTCCTATAGGAAATATGAAAATTTATGTCTCACATAGATGACCAACTCCCCAAAGCATCTGAAAGCACAAAAATAAAATGAATGGGAAGGGGATGTGGATACAAATGTTTCTCTATTTTTTTTTTTTTGCACATTTTTATGATCCTAATTTTTAGAGCTGCTGACTGTGGTTCAGTCTTGCTTCTATTTTATATGTTTGCAGAATGACATTAAATAGTCTCAGGGGTTCTTTCAGAATTTTATTTATGAAAATAAATCCATGGCACTTAATGCACAGCTACTCTGAAAGCACACGTGGGAAACTGTGGTGGTTACAGCGTGTGCAGAGAACGGTCTTTGTGACAATCGTGAAGTGGACATGCGAGGTGAAAACCTTAAGTATTCCCTTGCTCTGAACTCACAGCCCAAGGTCGTGTCCGTGTCTATGTCTATCCTTGGTTTCCTTCCACCATTTCTGCCTCTGCTCATACCTCCACATTTCCACCTCCACCCCTGCCCATACCTTAACCTCCACCTCTGGCTCTGCTTTTTATATTCTGGCTCTCTTGTATGTGTAAATGACTAAAAGACCCCAAGGCTCAGTTATTTTCACTGACACCCCTCGAAGGAATCCTATAAACTAAGGTCAGACTGTAAACTGCATAAGATGGTCTTTGAATATCATGTAGAAAGAAAGGGGGTTTCTTAGGCATGCAAGCCATGGGCTGCCTGAGTCTTCTCTGTCCTAGCACTAAGGAAATGTGAAAGGATCTACACAATCGCTATTGCTGATAAATTGTGCAGCGCTGTCCTTGTGATGACCGCATTTCGTCGGTACTCCTGGGTTACTCTAAGCGAATCTCTGAGCCCTGGATGCTATATGTATGTGCCTTTGTTTAGTGTCTAATGTATAACTAGTAGAGAAAGAAAAATAACATGTAAGTCAAGGGCCTCGAGGAAATGGCTGATGCTTTACCCATCTCTATTGACTTAGACAATTACACAGCCTTCAGCTCATGTATAATGACTCATTGTATCTCAGATATCCAAAGGGCCTTGAGGAAATGGCTGATGCTTTACCCATCTCTATTGACTTAGACATTTACACAGCCTTCAGCTCATGTATAATGACTCATTGTATCTCAGATATCCATGGTAAGAGTCTCCACTCCATTACGTATAAGGAAGTTAACAGTGCTATTTGTGCTATGATTCATCGTCAACTGTAACACAGATACTAATTTTAGAGATTTTACTGAGAAAAAAATTATTCATTTTATATCCTGTGACCATGAAAGTGTTTCAATAGTCAGTTAATCCATTGATATGGCCCTGTAAACACATGCCTGGATTCCATTTAAACTGATTTCCTATCTGATACTAGCTTGGTCATTTCCCAGAACATTTCTCTGGTCAGTTGGTTTCTGAACTGCCTCCTTGTTCATTAGTAATTTTCCTTTGATGGGAGGCAACTATTCTGTTCTGGCTGTGACAAAACACACAATGAGATTCCACATGGCAGTTGGTGATTCTTCTGTGCTCCCAGCACAGTTTCCTCCCCTGAATTTTTTGTGTACATAACCTTTACTGGGACACATTTCAAGTCCATTTCTAAAGGGTTAAATATAAAGTATGGCATTATTTAAAGACACCGTAGTCTTTGGATGGTTTAACAGTGGGTATGAATTCACATAAGGCCTGAGTTCCCTAACAAAAGAGACTTCTAGTTTCTAATTGCGGTGAAAGCTGACTTCTTTCTTTCTTCTGCAGTGATGATGTCAGATCAGCCAATATAATTGCTGAAGAAAATGATGTTGCATGCCTCGTGATAGACAGAGAGTGAGTATCCTGGTTTTGGAGAACGCAGGCACCTGCTGCTTGGAAGACTTGGCTTCTGTGACTCGGATCCCTCTCTGTTTTCATGTTCATCATCACTTGGAAATGCTGGTCAATGCTCAGCTGCAAGTGCATCCTATTAATATTCATGAGCAGGAGCTGGATTCCTGATCAGAATCTGTCTCCACAGTGGCAGATGCTGGCAGGCTAAATATTTTGTGTGCAAAGTTGATATGTAATTATCAGCGATGGGCTGCTTCAAATTCTGTTTCTTTCAGGGAAATCAGTTTGTTAGTGCTTCTGTGAGTTTATTTATGTGTCTGTGGTTATGCCATCAGTGTGAGTATCCAAGGATACTGGAAGAGAGCTCCAGATCCCCGGAGCTGGAGCTAGAGGATTTTGTGATCCACCGGACATAGATACTAGGAACCAGATATGGGTACCAAATGTGGGTCCTCTTCAAGAGCAGCAAGTGCTGCTAACTGTTAAGCCATATCCCCAGCCGAGAATCTTCCTCTGAAGACATTAACTGATTATCATTCTAGAAAGGCATGACCATCTGTAGTAATTTTTAATGACATGCATCAATATTGATATCGTTCTTAGATACTTTTAAAAATAAGACTCACTTTGTTTCCGTCACTACTTCAAAGCCCATTTTAACCTGGATCCTTTGACCCTTCATTAATCAGTTAAATATTGACTAGTTATACAATCAATCTAAGGAATACGATTTACGTAAGCCAAAACTAAGACATCGTCTATGTGAAGCAGTGGTGTCATCAAAGAAATAAGATGCACTCCTATGAAATATTAACAAAACCAGTAAAATGACAAGATATAACAGTGGAATATTGTCAGTCAATTATTGTTTATAGCCTTGACTGAATCATACATGTGAAACACTGGAAAGAATATTAGAATATTGCAAAAAAACCCTTTTTTCATGGAAATTTTCAACCATTGAAAAATAGAATAACATTGTAAACTTCATAATGCAAGTACATTAGTTATGCATTTCTAATCTATAACCCACTCCATGGATCCATTCCATATTTTTAGTACTTTCAAGGAAACTTAAAATATGCAATTATTTTATGTATAGATTTCTATAATTTCTCCAAAAGCCAAGTACTATGTGTAAACCACACAATCCTAATGTTAGCATATCTAAAAATTAAAATATCTAGAAGGTAATTTTAATATCCCTCCAAGCTATTCTAATTCTTTCCTACAGATAAAACAAGTGAACCCCAGGTGGGTTAAACGTCTTCTCTCTACTGCCCAGGTTCCCCGACTCATTCCATCATTCTGCCAATCATGCCACCAGGCTCCCATAGCACCTGTTCAGAAAGAGAAGCAACCGTGGTTCTGTGAGGTGGAAAAGGCTTCCTTTTATTTCTAATTGATGGAATGTTCTTTAAAACGGGGCTTTTCTAAGCAAGGATAAACTGTAGAAGTCACTCTAGGAGAAGTAAAACTGCAAAATCCCAGGGCCTAGGAAATGCAAAATGTGTTTAGATAAAAGCCATCCTTGAATGATGGCTGTTGGATGGAAAATATGTTAGTTCAATGTTTTGCCACTAGTAAATCTGTTTTGTGTGTGTGTGTGTGTGTGTGTGTGTGTGGGTGGGGGGGGGTGTGGGTGTGTGTATGAAAAATATATGTGTGTTCTGAGTAACAGCTATGGTATAATTGCTCTAGAAGCCAGGGGAAAATATATGAGAGAAGAGAAGAATGGGGTTCATCCATAATCACATAGATCAGATAATGTCACTCAGAGTCTGTGAAAAATGCAATAATTTTATGTACTTTACAATGTGTAGGCTTATAATTTCAGAATTTTGATTTATATGGATATTGGTCTGAGAATATCCATCTGCCACAATGAAAGATAAAACATTATATGAATTAGGGGTGAGAAAGTTGAACTGTCAGGTACAAGTGGGTTGAACTACGTCCTAAATTTCTGTGACCACTGGGTTATGTATCTGTGAGTAACATCTCATCTCACTCTGGAAATAAGTCCAGTTTTGATTATAAATGAAATGATGACTGTAGTTATGACTTATAGAATAGGTTAAGATCCTACAGCAATTCACAACACTGTATGATCAAATTGATACTTACAGTTTAATTTATTTAGCACCTGTCCTGTCAACCTACTATTAGCTTCAGGGACACAGAAACATGTCATTTGTACATTGTGACTGCAGGGCCAGTATCTGGCATAGTCCTTGACAAATGAGAAATGATCACCAGATGGTAGCTGGACAAAAGGGTACCATACTTATATTAAAATAGAGCGACAGAAAATCTATAGATTATTATTTCTTCCTCCATATTTCACAATTTTAAGCAAACTCTTTTGATTATAATGAAAGAATATAGTTGTTTCCTTTCTTATTTTGAAATTGTGAGGAAACATGTGAAATAACTATATGGTAATAAAAAAAAAGGAGTGGGGAGGTAGAGAGAGAGTCATATCTCCGGGGCTTTCTGGCCAGCCATCCAGGTCTAATTGGCAGGCTCCAAGCAAGTGTGAGACCCTGTCCTAAGAGAGAGTGGATGGACAGCTCCAGAGTAATAACACTCGAGGCAATGACTGCCACACACACATGTAAACGTAGAAACAGAGACATGGAACAAAAAGTGTTAAAACTGCCTTGATACCTTCACAACAGAACATCTTTTAATTTTATTTTATTTAGAACATTCAACCAAACCGTTGGGACATTTGAAGAACTCCAAAAATACCTTGAGGGGTATGTGGCCAACCTGAACCGCGATGATGAAAAAAGGCACGCAAAGTAAGTGAGAGAGTTTTCTCTGCCACCAGCCACAGCTGTAGGTTGTGATCCCCTGCAGGGTGGCTTTCAGCAAGCTGTGCTAGAACATTCTAGGGACACCAGTTCAACTCAAGGGTGGAAAGTTTTTAAGCCTCTAAGTAAAAACTTTGAGTGTTGAATATGAATTTGAGGGAGAAGTTTCCTGGTAAAGGGAACACTTCAGAATACTGACTTCCACAGGTGAAGAGAAGGGTTATAGCTTGGAGTTTCTGAAAATTTCCAAGAATGTTTTTGTGGGTAGGAGAGGGTAGAGTACATCACTGCAAATCTAGTTATACTGTTTTTTGTTTTGTTTTGTTTTTAAAACAGGGAACTTTTGTTAAATTACAATTACTTAATAAAACATTTAAATTTTATTTTATTGTAGTATTTCTGTGCTGAGATTTGAACCCAGAGCCCTATAATTCTTGGTGGATATTCTCCAATCTGCTAACCCCAGACCTTAAGACCTCACAAGTGAAAGCCAAAGCTTATATTCATGAGATAGGTTTCTAGAGAGCTACACTCAAAATTTCTAGAAAGACTAAATTAAATTTTGAGTTAAAGTGTTCAAACAATATTTCTCTTCAAGATAGTCATTCACAATTTTTTATGCCTTTGACCTCTTAAAGTAGTAGTTTATCCATATATAAATCAGTAAGTTTTAATTCAAAGACAAAACGTGTATTTTATAAACAACAATACTTAGATGTAAAGTGTACTTTCATGTTTCATAACACAGTTATTCTGCATGAGACATGGAAAGCTTTGTTGAAAAGCAGCAGACATTCTTAGTGTGGCCTTCTAAGAATAACAAAGTTACTGGTTTCATTCTCCTCCACTGCCTAACTTCCTGCTGTTAGCAGCTCTTTTGAGATGTGTTCCAAATGCTACAAAATTCCCATTGAATGTGTTTGTCCTCGATCCCATTGCTTTTCTCCCCGGATATGAACAAACACATCCCTGTCAAGATCAGGATAGTCTTGTTGCGATGATACCTTTTTACTTCCCATTGAATGTGTTTGTCCTCGATCCCATTGCTTTTCTCCCCAGATATGAACAAACACATCCCTGTCAAGATCAGGATAGTCTTGTTGCGATGATAGGCAGTATTGCAGGTAGAAATGTGCCCCTGGAGAATAGAGTTTGTGAATGGCATGGTAGTGGTGTGACTCAGCATGTATGTGACATCTCACCTCTCTCTTCAGGCGCTCTATGTCTAACTGGAAGTTGTCCAAAGCCCTTTCTCTGGAGATGATTCAGCTGAAAGAGAAGGTGGCCAGATTCTCTTCAACCTCCCCATTCCAGAACCTTGAGATTATCGCAACACTGGGCGTTGGTGGGTTCGGAAGAGTGGAGCTTGTAAGGGGTTTACGTTTCAAGCATCTGAGTGAAGCATACTGATTTCTTGTTGTTTTGTTTTGTACCTCAGCTTATGTTGGAAGAATATATGAGTTATCATTGCTATGTTAAAGTATTCTAAACTGAAGGAAGCAAATGTTTCAGCCTGTTTGTGCTTGCAAATAGTAATTAGTTGCTCTGCCAGTCTTCAGACATCACATCCTGTGATGAATTTTTTTTTGATAGTGATTATTGGAGAATGTACCAAGTAAGCATTCCGAAAGATTATGAAATGTAGATGTATTTCCTAGCAACAAATTACATGTGCATAGATGTGTGCAATTATAACACATTATCTCTCTAGACTAAAGAAAAGGAGAACGTGGCCCCAGAAATACTGTAGATGGAATCCTCAATATTCTAGCCATATTACTTAAACAACCCCACCTCTCTGCTGTGTTTGGCTTTCATTACCCTATTTTTGGGTTGTGTAAAACTTTCCATCAGAGACAAAGGAGAGAAGGATCTTTGAAGAAAAGCCTTCTGTAGCACTCAACAAGACAGCTGGGAGCTTCAGCCTGATTTCAGTTATCTTCCACATCACCACCTGTCTGTGCTTAATAATCAGCTCCCAAGAAAGAGCAGAAGTCCTGCTTCGTCAGATCAAGCGTTCTGAGGGAACTGCGCAATAGAAATCTGTGCTCTTGCTGGGTGCAGATGGCTCTGAGCCCGTGGCGATTACCAAGCCCTTCTTTGCCCAGACAATTTTTAACAATCCGCTGTACAGTGACCTCCAGGAGCTATGTTGATGCCTTCCTTTGTCTGCAGAAAGGCTGGGCATGAACAGCTGTGAAATGCTACTACAGGCCCCACCAGGACAGTTCAAACCCATTCCAGACCTCATGCCTGATGGGTGGAGGGAAAACACTTCCTAACAGGATGAAGGATGTTTGCAATGGGGCTTATGCTCTATGCAGACATTGCTCTACACTGGTGTTTTCTACCACAAGCACAGCTAACAGATTGAATTAACAATGGCAAGATCTTCTTTCCTAGATAGTAACTGCCAAAGCAGTAATTTCTCCACTTATTTAAAATCTATAGACATCACCAATGGTAAATATGAACAAAACATGGGATGCAGTCATCTCCATTTACTAACCAGTATTGTCTGCTTATGCACTTTTATAACTGTCAGAAAAAAGTCTAGTTGGTTCAACCTTGATTTTCTTTTGAGAAGGAGTTGTGATTTTTGTACACAGAGGAGCCCCCTCTTAGTGTCCCAGAGTGATTTCTACCATGATGGACATGTGTCTCTAAGCTTCTATCACCTGATATGCCCTTTGAGGTTTGGAAATGTGCCTGATACAATCAAGGAAATGAATTTCTACTTTTAATCAATTTAAATTTAAATGACCTCATGTGATTAGTAGGCTGTCCACAGACATAGATTTGATATGAGTTTCTTTGAAAATTAGAGGCTAATATCAAGAAATAAGAAGTCTTGGCAGTTCTTATTAACACTGTCCATGTTTCACAATCAAAACTGTAAAAATTTCTCTCAGTGAAATTTAAGCAGATTTTTTTCTTATTTCAGTACAAAAATTTTAGAACCAAGTTATATGAAGCATTTTGAAAATGATTGTCAGTGTACAAAGTTCTATAGAAGTCAGTTCTAGAGGGATAAGTGGTTAAAAGCTTATAGAATCTTTAAATGTAAAACAATTTAACTCTAATTAATCAACATGATACATTCCATATTGCAAATTGTTGTAATGCGCAGTTATTCTGCATGAGACATGAAAAGCTTTGTTGAAAAGCAGCAGACATTCTTAGTGTTGCCTTCTAAGAATAACAAAGTTACTGGTTTCATTCTCCTCCACTGCCTAACTTCCTGCTGTTAGCAGCTCTTTTGAGATGTGTTCCAAATGCTACAAAATTCCCATTGAATGTGTTTGTCCTCGATCCCATTGCTTTTCTCCCCGGATATGAACAAACACATCCCTGTCAAGATCAGGATAGTCTTGTTGCGATGATAGGCAGTATTGCAGGTAGAAATGTGCCCCTGGAGAATAGAGTTTGTGAATGGCATGGTAGTGGTGTGACTCAGCATGTATGTGACATCTCACCTCTCTCTTCAGGCGCTCTATGTCTAACTGGAAGTTGTCCAAAGCCCTTTCTCTGGAGATGATTCAGCTGAAAGAGAAGGTGGCCAGATTCTCTTCAACCTCCCCATTCCAGAACCTTGAGATTATCGCAACACTGGGCGTTGGTGGGTTCGGAAGAGTGGAGCTTGTAAGGGGTTTACGTTTCAAGCATCTGAGTGAAGCATACTGATTTCTTGTTGTTTTGTTTTGTACCTCAGCTTATGTTGGAAGAATATATGAGTTATCATTGCTATGTTAAAGTATTCTAAACTGAAGGAAGCAAATGTTTCAGCCTGTTTGTGCTTGCAAATAGTAATTAGTTGCTCTGCCAGTCTTCAGACATCACATCCTGTGATGAATTTTTTTTTGATAGTGATTATTGGAGAATGTACCAAGTAAGCATTCCGAAAGATTATGAAATGTAGATGTATTTCCTAGCAACAAATTACATGTGCATAGATGTGTGCAATTATAACACATTATCTCTCTAGACTAAAGAAAAGGAGAACGTGGCCCCAGAAATACTGTAGATGGAATCCTCAATATTCTAGCCATATTACTTAAACAACCCCACCTCTCTGCTGTGTTTGGCTTTCATTACCCTATTTTTGGGTTGTGTAAAACTTTCCATCAGAGACAAAGGAGAGAAGGATCTTTGAAGAAAAGCCTTCTGTAGCACTCAACAAGACAGCTGGGAGCTTCAGCCTGATTTCAGTTATCTTCCACATCACCACCTGTCTGTGCTTAATAATCAGCTCCCAAGAAAGAGCAGAAGTCCTGCTTCGTCAGATCAAGCGTTCTGAGGGAACTGCGCAATAGAAATCTGTGCTCTTGCTGGGTGCAGATGGCTCTGAGCCCGTGGCGATTACCAAGCCCTTCTTTGCCCAGACAATTTTTAACAATCCGCTGTACAGTGACCTCCAGGAGCTATGTTGATGCCTTCCTTTGTCTGCAGAAAGGCTGGGCATGAACAGCTGTGAAATGCTACTACAGGCCCCACCAGGACAGTTCAAACCCATTCCAGACCTCATGCCTGATGGGTGGAGGGAAAACACTTCCTAACAGGATGAAGGATGTTTGCAATGGGGCTTATGCTCTATGCAGACATTGCTCTACACTGGTGTTTTCTACCACAAGCACAGCTAACAGATTGAATTAACAATGGCAAGATCTTCTTTCCTAGATAGTAACTGCCAAAGCAGTAATTTCTCCACTTATTTAAAATCTATAGACATCACCAATGGTAAATATGAACAAAACATGGGATGCAGTCATCTCCATTTACTAACCAGTATTGTCTGCTTATGCACTTTTATAACTGTCAGAAAAAAGTCTAGTTGGTTCAACCTTGATTTTCTTTTGAGAAGGAGTTGTGATTTTTGTACACAGAGGAGCCCCCTCTTAGTGTCCCAGAGTGATTTCTACCATGATGGACATGTGTCTCTAAGCTTCTATCACCTGATATGCCCTTTGAGGTTTGGAAATGTGCCTGATACAATCAAGGAAATGAATTTCTACTTTTAATCAATTTAAATTTAAATGACCTCATGTGATTAGTAGGCTGTCCACAGACATAGATTTGATATGAGTTTCTTTGAAAATTAGAGGCTAATATCAAGAAATAAGAAGTCTTGGCAGTTCTTATTAACACTGTCCATGTTTCACAATCAAAACTGTAAAAATTTCTCTCAGTGAAATTTAAGCAGATTTTTTTCTTATTTCAGTACAAAAATTTTAGAACCAAGTTATATGAAGTATTTTGAAAATGATTGTCAGTGTACAAAGTTCTATAGAAGTCAGTTCTAGAGGGATAAGTGGTTAAAAGCTTATAGAATCTTTAAATGTAAAACAATTTAACTCTCATTATTCAATATGATACATTCCATATTGCAAATTGTTGTAATGCATTAATTATGAGTCTTTCATTTCTCGCCTAGGTTAAAGTTAAAAATGAGAATGTTGCTTTTGCAATGAAGTGTATAAGAAAAAAGCACATTGTCGACACTAAACAGCAGGAACATGTCTACTCGGAGAAGAGGATCCTGGAGGAGTTGTGTTCCCCGTTCATCGTGAAGTAAGTGAGCAGCTGGCATGCCAGGAAGCATTACTCTGAATTTTCCTGTGAGATCTTGGGTAGGAGTTTCCAATTGCTTTTATTCTAGGGAAGCCATGCTAATGTGGTGTGTGCATGTTTGCAGGCGCATGCACGCATGCGTAGGGGGCTATTATAGAATAGTTGGAGCTCATTATTTCATCCAAAGCTAATGTAGAATTGGGGAAGAAGGAAGCAAGAGCCCACAAGCTGCTGCTCAGTGTGGGTGGATGTTAAACTTCTTCAGGGAGGGTCATTTGGGTACACACAGTTACCAAAGTGCAAAGTTACCAAGTGGCCATCTCCTAATAGTTATTCCTCTTTTTTCTCTGTACTTGTTATCAGCATGGAAGAGATACTATCTAGACCATCACCCTCTTCCCTGGTGTATCCACAAGCTACTGATATAAGCCATTTTTAATTTTCATTTACTTTTTAATGATACCTAAGTGTAGTTTCAGTAATGTCTGGTGATGTACAGTCTACAGGGTAGACCAGATGCTTTGAGAAAAATCTTCCTACTTACCCATACTCTCAGGCTCAGTTTTTCATGGTTAAAAAATAAGACTGATTCCAGGCAATGATGATAGCATTCATTCAATTATGTTTATATTTTTCCAGCATTCCCTTTTAAAGTTAATATTCACCAATGAACTGTGATGGGCAGCTTAAGGGTTGTATTTCTTTTTTACAACACCAGCTCTTTGCAATGTTCTTGACATGCAGGATAGCAGTAATGGTATTTAGAATAATATCAGGGAAGACATTTACTATGCTGTGAGATATACAGATTTAGACAGGGATGGCGGTGAGATGACCATGTTTACATCACTGGTCCTTTATGAGGAAGCAAACCAGAAATGTACATGTGTATTTTCCATTAAATACTTATTGACAGTAATATATAGATAATGTATAGTCAATATATAATCTGATTAATTTATATGTAAAAATGAGAAGCTGCAATTATATAACTAATGGGAAAATAGGTGTCCCCCATGACATCCTTCCCCATTCTCCACTCCTTCTCCTCTTATTCTTCTTACTTATTTTTATTTTATGTATGTGAGTGTTTGTCAGCATGTATGGATGTGTATCATGTGCATAAGGGATGGCCATGAAGGCCAAAAAGAGTGATGGGTACCCTGGAGCTGGCATTGTAAATGGCTATGAGCTGTGCATGTATGGATGTGTATCGTGTGCATAAGGGATGGCCACGAAGGCCAAAAGAGTGATGGGTACCCTGGAGCTGGCATTGTAAATGGCTATGAGCTGCCATGTGGGTGATGGGAACCGAACCTAGGTCTTTGGTGAGAGCAGAAAGTGCTGCAATTGCCAAGCCAGCTCTCCATGATGCCCACACAGATTCTTTTTGAATTCTAAGTACCAGAAAATGTTTTCACCCAAGTATTGAATGTGGTACACAGCTCCACCACTCCTTGAGGTCTGGGGCTTTGAGTATGGAGGCCTGTGTAGCAGAATAGCTCTGTCCTTCTCAGGCATCATTTTTAATGATCTGAACCACTTTACTCACCATTTACTTTCTAGGGTCACCC